GAGCCGCATTCAGACACAGGAGACCAGGTTCAGTGATGCAGATCCAATTTATTGCAGAAGGGCACAAGCTTATATGGGGTAGAGGTCCAATCAAGAAGTTACAACTCAAATCCTTGGCAGGGCTTTGTCCTATCATGACATCGCGAGTCAGACACCTTATTAACATAATAGGTTTCAGGTTACTTGGGTTCCGGTTTTCTGTACGGGGCCTGGATTCCTGGGAACCACGTGACCCAGGCTGTTGCAATATATATGCGTTGCAACTTAGACTCTCTAGGGTGGTGATCAGGGAGTGGCAAGCTCTAGGCATCAGTCCCATGATCTGCCAATGGAAGCAAATGTCACAAGGCGTTTCTTGTGGCTCCAGTGGTTGGGCCGTTGCCTCAGGCCTGCTGTGTGGCTGTCATTAGGACTTTCACCCTAGGCTCAAGCCTGTCTCCCACATCCTGTAACTAGTCAACCTAGGAGGGCAAGGAGAAAAAACTGTCCTTTATGTCCCTCTGACCAAATTAGTATAGGCCTCAAAGTATGTCTGTTAAACATCCAAGAAGGTTAGTTCCACCAGTCTGGTACTTTCAACTACTGTGTATCATGTAAATAAATCTTGGGCAAAGACCAATTATTCTCAGATAAACCTTACCTAGACATATATTTCTTGATCTGCTATGTATAATTTGTCAGTATGTTGTAGGCATAATATGTTTCCCTCTGGTTTTCAAAACTAGCTAGGCATTATTTATCTCACGCATTGTCTCACCTCTCCACCATAGTTTTGTCGCTAAAGGTGCCCCCATTCCCCCATTTCTCCCTCAATAATACCCTTCTCCTATGGTCCTACCTCTCTTGAGCTCCTTCTTTCTCTTATCCCTTAGGTTCCTTGTATAACCTTCCCTCCCCCTCCCTTAAAATAACCCACTTTTTAGACATATCTCCCTTATTAAGGCCTGTTTCCTACTGTTCTTCTCTTTACCTCCCTGGTTCCTTTCCATTATCCTGGTTCCTGTAGTTATGTCTGGATACATACTCACTTATCAGGGTTTGGTTCTAGGACCCACGTACGAGGGAGAACATATGTCGATTTTTTTTTCTGAGTCTGTGTTACATCACTTAGTATAACAGTTTCTAGTTCCATTCATTTACCTGCAAATTTCATGATTTCATCTTTCTTTACTGCTGAGTAAAACTCCATTGTATAAATTGTATAAATGTATAAATGTATTTTCATTATCCACTCATCAATTGAGAGACACTTAGGTTGCTTCCATCTCTTGGCTATTGTGAAAAGAGCAGCAACAAACATGGATGTACAAGTGTCTCTGCAATAGGGTGAGTACATGG